CGTAGCTGTAAGTGCCAAGATTTCATACATACTTAGTTTCGTTTGCTCTAACGAGGTAAGAGAATGTGACATTTTTTCAATGAAGAAGAATAAAAAGGGGGAAAATTCATTGGTACGGCGGAAGAGGAAGGCCTAGAGTACTTTGTAAAGCTGTACATTTGCTTGTCTTGTATTTGTCTTTCAATGAAACACCTGTAGAAACGCCTTTTATCAAATTCAAGGCTTTCTTAATATCGATCGCATTACGAGCTAAACAAGTTTTGCTAACCCTTTTATTCAGAAATACGCACAATAAGCGAAGCTTTATAAATCTTCTATGTGGATTGAGATGTATCTCTGATGTATGCCTTTCAAAAGAAAATAAAAAATACTGACCTAGAAATGTAATACAAAGGAGGCAAGTGGGCGTCCAAACATGCGCTTGCCTTGCTATCGATTAAAAATTAAGAAAATTTGGAAAAACCGCAACTATGACTTTAAAATAGTTTTTAACGACCCACTAGGACATCGCTATATATAGATGGTAGATATACAAGATATGCTTTAATGCCCTAATCACTTCATTCTAGGCTTTCTGGTCTGTTAGAAGCAGGAAAGTCGCCTGCATATTTCATTTCACTGCATTGATATCATTTAACAAAAAGTTATTCAGTTATTTATAAATGGAAATAAATGAAACTTGAATACACATAAAGAAAAAAATTTTTTTTTTAATTTTATTTGTGTCAGAGACACTCAATCAATTCATCAATTATTTTAACTTATTTGTAAATATGGCTGGGTGCATGTGTGTTTATGCTTTTGTGTGCATGTGTACGCGTCCATTTATCTCTCTATACTTTTTTGATTGTGTGTTATATTTACTAATTAGATTATAGTCAATACATTTATATGTATCTATATGTATATGTATAAATCTATCTATATATCTGTATAAATGTATGCATATATATATATATATATATATATATATATATATATATATATATATACGTATATATAGATAGATATATGTATTTGTCTTTTGTTTGTTTTTTTATTCATTATTCAATTTTTCCGCTTGACGTTCGTTCGTTATTGGTAATTATTCAGTAAATTTGCAGTTTTTGTGTTTATTGTTAGTAATATACATATATGTTTCGTTTTTTCGTTTTTTTTGCGTTTTTTTTTCTTTTTTTTTTTTTTTTTTGTTATTTTGATTTATTTTTTATATTAGGTTCTATTGAACTGCTTTTTTTTGTCTCTCTTTTTTGTTAGTAAATTCATTAGTTGTTGTGTCTGTATAACCTGTTTCGCATAGATTTTTATGTTTCTCTCTTTTTATAATTACAATTAGTGTTGTTGTTGTTGTTGTTGTATTTTATTTATTTTTATTTTTATTTTTTTTAATTTTCCTGTCCATTGCCTGTCTGTATTTCTATGTGTCGACTAAGTTATGTGTGAGTGTGTGTTGTGTCATTTATAAAATTGACATTTTATGTTAAAGATTTTTTTAGGATTTTTTTTTATTATTAATTCTTTCTTTTTTTTTTTCTTCGTTTTATTATCATCTCTTGTTATTGTAATTTATTGATTAATAATTTAAACTAAATTATGCATAATTTCGTTACGTATTAACATTCACGTAAAACACAAGGAAACTTTTGAATCAAAAGTTTACATTTTTTTAGGGAGAGTTAGGAGGAGAAGGAGAAGAATGGCGTCATGGAAAGGGCGATTGGCAAGGGATGATGGTGGAAAGGTAAAGATAGTTAAAGACTTGGTTCAGCATAGCCATTTTAATGTCGTTTACGTCGTCTTCTGGCTCTTTATTTTTGTTCTGATTGCTGAGATTTGGTATAAAATTCATTTAATTTTGCTTTTAAGTTTTTTCTTTCATTTTTTATATACTAATTTAGAGGTGCTGCTGCTCGTTCGTTTATCAGTTTAAATTTATTTAATTAACCTAGACAAAGTTTACCTGTTTTATTATTGTTGTCTTATTAATTAGTCTAATATCAATTTGTTGTTGTTATTATATTATTTTTATTTTTTTTATTTTTGTTTTTAATTTTTTATAGTATTTGGTTACCCTAAGGACATGGTCATCATTTTTGACTTTTTATAAAATAATGATAATAATACTAATTATAATAATAATAATAATAGTGATGATGATAATAATAATAATACTAATAATAAGAATAATAATAATAACGATAATAATAAAAATAATAATAATGACAAAAAGTTATCGATCGACTTCCATATAATGGAGGTGTTCATATTTCTTTCCTATGCATGTAAGGACATAATAATATATGAATCTCCAAAAAACATACATATACACATATACAATATTTACAATTTTAATAAGAAGAATGGATTAGTGTTAGCTGATGGCAATATAAAGCAGGGTCTCTTCGTTTATTTCTCATCTTATTCCCAATTCTTCCTCTTCTCATTGATATACTGCTATCTACAAATGTATATATGCACATAATAACAGAAAACATACACACAAGAAATATAGGTATCGATCATGACAATAATGTCGATAGAGTGATAAAAGGGAAGGATAGTTAAATAGATAGAAATATAGATAGGCAGAAAGAGAGAGAAAGAGAGATGATGATACAGGGAGTGAGTGAGTGGATGAGTGGTAGAGACGGAGACAGAGGGGTGGGGCAAAACAAATATGGGACGTGGGGAATAGGTGTAACATCGAAGAGGGCAGTATTCCTTCATTTAATATACATTCGCATTCATTAAAATTTAGCATCAGCTAAAAATTTTCCTCCAATTAGGCTTAATATTTTCTCGACTATATAATATACAGTCTTTACACCCTAGTTATCCCGCTTTTGCTACATTTAACTTTATCACCATAATATTTCTTTTACATATATATAGATACCTTTGACGTTTGACGTTCTCATGGATTCAGCACTTGCGTAGAGAATTCGCTTTAACAATATTTGCCATTTTAAAGGGTTCAAAGGTATTATTCAATCCTCAATCGTGGCGGCTTGACGTGCATGAAGACTGAGAATCCCCATATTGCAAAGAATTGAAAGTCTTGGATGTCTGATATATAAATTTCGCTAAATGCTAAATGATTGTTGGCATTTTTTTTTTTTGGTGGCAAAGCTTGAAATATTTTTTATATTGATTGAGTGGCATAAGCGAGAAATGAATAGAATTATTGATACAAAGGTCGGGCTAGTGACGGCCTTAATAAGTAATTTCCATATATAAAGCGATTTTCTTTTAAATGGTCTGTCTAAGTTAAGATGGGACGTAAACTTAATTGAACATATGTGGCGGATCTTACATTAATTTATTTAATTTACTGCATTGATAAAACGGTTCGTAAATTATTTTGAAAATGTTATTAATTTTATAACTCATGACTTAGATACTAAGCAAAATATTTAACACAACAGCCCGGTCTAAAAATCTATGCACACCTTAAATTATCTGAATATATACTATTTACATATATATATATATATATATATATACATTTACATTTTTAAAACCGACTATTGGAAAGCAAAAGCTTTCTGTTTCCAAAGTCCTTTGAAAGAGATTTTCTAAATAGGGACTAGAGACTAAAGATTAAAGACCGAGAGTTGAAATGGATTTACGCTTAACTTTGCATCACTTTGCCAAAAATCTGAAGCTCAAAAAAAAAAAAAAAAAAAAAAAAAAAAGCTAATGACGAGTTTCGACTGAGCTGTAAAAGAATAAAGTCTAACTCTAACTCTTAAGCATATGCGTGCGAGATTAAAAAGTCTAATATCAATGTCCCTTTCCGTTTTGAAAATTCTCGTAACTGCGCATTTCCAAAAGGTTTCTACGCACTCGCATCGCGAGCAATGATCCTTTTTTTCAAATTTTTTATTCCTGATATCCGAGAAGTTTTAGCCTATATTCCGAAAAGTCTAAATCATTTGTTTACAATTAATAATTTAAAAAAAAAAAGTATTCTTCATTGCCGTTCATTTATTCAATCGCTTAATTGCATTGATTAGCAGCGATGGCCTATATAAGCTATATGTGGAACTGACTATGTCCTTTGTATTTAGAAACAAATTTTTCATATTCATTGCAAAATTAAAGCCAACAGTGTCTTTTAAATTTACTTTCTATAAAGCAAAAAAAAAAAAAAAAAAAAAAAAAAAAAAAAAAAAAAAAAAAAAAA